ATCTTGTTTTATATTATTATATCCGCATCATTCTATTGTACTTTTATTCCGTAATCAATTACTATTACCCCTTGACTATTGTTTATAATTATTATTTAACTGTTATTATGACATCTACATTTTCCATCACTTTTTCATGTGTCAAGTGGTTAGTTATCTTGCATATTACTGATCTGTGAATTATTTTTGTTATCCAATTCTTCGCTAACCTCTAGATCAACAAGTAACCTTATTTCGGTGATTAAAATCACAGATCACTTAATGATGCAGTCTCGTTCTGCAATTCTATAAACTCGTAAGTTCATTAAAACACGATAAATATAAATGCACAACTCTAATAAATGGTTTCATCTGAAAAAACTACTATTTTCAATAGTTCATGACTAATAGAAACTATTATATCTTCATGCATAATGAAAATTAGTTTTGTAAACTCATCAAATACAGGAAATTACGTCAAAGCCCTAAAGATATTTCTATCTTAATAACATTACACTTAATAATGTATAATAAGTCGTTATGAATGACTGAAATTAGTTGAAATGAAATAGATCTACTTTTCATGTTATAATGATATAAAACGAAATTAGAAAATAGTACACCATCAAACCATGTATGGAGTAAGTAAACATTTCCGAGGGGAACGGATGATGGACACGAAAATTCGTTGACTGGAGTCAAAAATTTTAACCATTGGATGGCAACTTAATGGTATGAAATTTAAGCTCTTACGGCTGCCCTCAAGGCCTTGTTTTCGAAACCAATTTGGGTTATGGATCCCTATTGCTGATGATTCCCATACTAGGGAGAAACGGCTAGTTAATCATCCTTATTTTTCAGTAGCTGTCTAACTGAGGTTAATTTCTTATGCAAGGCTTAAATGAAAATAATAGACTACATTTCGTTAACTATGCTCATTGTACTCAACACACGTCTAACAAGCAATTAAACTGAATGGCCGGTTTAAGAATTATTTATTTTGTTATTGAATATCATAATTTCGCTGGTGTTACGTCTGTAATTAGATAATTATTATCACTACTGGCTTTGAGCTTATGTTCTAAATACATATTTCCGGTCACGTTTGTAAGATTGAAGAGAAATCTTATCAGATTACTTAGAACGAGCTAATCCTTAGTAAAAGGCTTATAGCAGTAAGCATTTCGCGATGTTATAGAAATAAAAATATTCTAAAGAGATAAAATAAGAGTGATGAATAGAGTAGAAGATGGTATATTGCATAATATTATCCTTTCTTTGGCGCTGAATTACTAGTTGTGAAGTTAATAGTTTTCAAAGTTTTTTGTGACATTTGGAATTGAAATAGTATTATTAAGATTAGATGGTGCTTAAAGGTAGTCAACAGGAAACCCTGGACATAGGTTTTGCGCTACTTGGTTCTCGTCAGCAAGGTGTACCTGTGATCTTGAGGGAGCTGATGCTTCTTGACGGATTCTATCCCGTGTCATACAATTTCACAGTCAGAGGCGTTACCCTGTTCGATCTGCACTAAGAAGAGCCTGATGTACATGACATTGACCACCACCCAGTGATCAATCAATTGTAAATTGTTGGAATTCTTACTTTCCTTTTTATGGCAAAATACATTAAAACTTCATAGGACAAACACGGTTAATGTAATATCACTGGTCCAAGCATTATTAAAAACGAATACTTTCAAATGTAATGTAGGAATGCACGTAAAACTACTCCAAAGATTTATTTATAGCTTCACTCAATTATTGTCTGAGGCACTTCCAGCATAGAACTTATTTAAAATCAATGTTATGTGGAGATGTTCAAAGACACTGTAAAGTTTTATGATCGTTGAGGCCAATTTTTATTTCCCTGTTCACCCTCTTACAACTTGACATTATAACTATAGTATCAGTCAAGAAGTACAACTCTTTCTTGTGGTACAGGAAGGATGATCTTACAGTTTTATTTCTCTTGGCATTAAAGCACCAAAAACTAGGAATCAGTCTAGTACACAAAATAAAAATATTTCATTACCCTAAAACCACGTTAATTTGGATTCCTGTTTTTAAATATACATAAAGTCAGTGTAAAAGCATCATATCACTCATATTATGAACCTGCTTTTGGTCCCTTTAACCATTATAGAATGACTAAACATGATCAAGTTTGATTCAAACTTTGAAACATTTATTGTGTTTCTAGATATTAGTTCTGTTTTCCATCTACCGGATAATACTTTACACAGTGGTCTATCGGTTAAGGGCTTCGACTCGAGACTGGTAGGTCCTGGGTTCGAATCTCGCGAGAGCAGGTTCGTGGATGCACACCGCTGAGGAGTCCCATAATAGGACGAAACGGCCGTCCAGTGTTTCCAGGTTTTCGATGGTGGTCTAGCTTCAATTGACTCATGCTTTCTACTATCAAAAATACTAAATCTCCACAAAACCCCTTCTGATAATCAATATAATAGTAATTTAGGAAAAATGAAAATGCGAAAAAAATTGTGTGAATAAAATTCATAGTAGGAGAATTTCATCTTGTTAATTGAGATAATAAAGATAAATAGTAATAGTAATAAGATTGTTGTGTGAATATAATATGTAATAAAGGAGGGTGTTGTCAAGGTAATTAAGATGAACGAATTGGGAATGATGGATGTGAGGATTAAGATAGAGGTTATCAACAAAAAAAGAAAGAAAAAAAGGGGGAGGTTTATAATATTTAGTTTAGGAATCCGGTTGTCCAGTCGTAGGCCAAAGTAAACATATTGGCTGGATATACTTTTTCTGAATGCATAAGTTTGGTTTTTTGGCGTTGATCCAGATGGCTTCGGCTGTGTAAAGTAATCGTAATCTAGCTCGTTGAGGTAGAGTTTTCGGAACTTGATATAAAACAGAGAAGGCTTCCTCTATTTTGATATGATTTTCACTGTCTACCAAGTGAGAAAGGATGACGTTGTTAATGGATTTAGTGACTCCTTTTCCCAACCATGCTGGTACATGTTCACGAATACGCAAGGATAAAGCCCTCTGAGTACGGCCTATGTAACTAGCTCCACAGGAGCAGTTGAATCGGTATACACACGGTAACTTATCCTTGATTAATTGTGTAAGTACTGATTTAGTTGAGAAAGTGATGTGTAGCTTGGCAGCGTAAAACGTTCTTTCAACCGATCGTTTCAGTCGGCGTGTTAGAATATCATCCGCTGTCACCTTTGAAGTTCAGTTTCAGATACAACGTTTTCTTACTCACTGTGTCACAATTTCTTATTTTTTAAACAGTATTTTCTACTAGGTATTTTTTAACGAACTTATCTGGGTAGCCATTATTTCGCAATGTATTTTTTAGTATATCTATTTCACTATCAACACTGTCCTCAGAACATAATAGCTTGATTTTGTGGCTGAGACATTTAACCAAATTTATTTTATACTGAAGAGGAGTGAAGCTTTGGAAATGGTTATACTGACCCGTCCATGTATTTTTTTTAAAATATATTTCGCTTGATGGAACCATCTCTCCTTCTAGAAAGTAGGACGTCGAGGAAAGCTATACTGTAGTGAACAGAACACTATTTAAGCGAAAACTACAGACTATCTCAGTAAATTCTGAAAATCATACAATGAACAGTTAATTTGCAAATTAACAACCAACAGTCTCAATCTTCACTGTTTCTTCTCTAATTACACTGTTCGTGCATTTTCCTACAGATTGCGCTTCATTTCAGTTCTTCCCTCATCGGACTTCTGCCAAAATACATTCTATGTCTGACCAACACCATATACTACTTATATGGATGTAAGTAGATCACACCACAATACTACTGTCTTTCTCTTCCTCGCTGGTGAATTGAATCGCTGGGTGGACGTTATCGAAAAAGTCCAACGTCTTCTGTTTGTCAACCATTTCGTCGCATACGATTAATGTGTCATCTATGTATCGACAGTAGTAGTCTAGCTTACTTAGGGTGTCTTTTAACGTTCCATTTTCCAGTTTGGCCAGAAAAATGTCAGCAAGGATTGGGCCTAGTGGTTATCCCATTGCTACTCCATCTACTTGTCTGTAAAATTCATTTTTAAACTTAAAGTAGATATTCATAGTACATTTCATCAGGAGTTCTTTCATTTTATTTATTGGAATCGGTATCCCTATTTTCTTTTCTAGCACTTGTTCACATATGTAATCGATAGTTTCAATCAGGGGGATGTTAGTGAACAAGGATGCTATTTCTAGTGAGAGCATGGTTCTACCATTTATATTCCTATTTTCTATTGAATCCACAAATTCAAACACGTCTTTAACACTGTGGTTAACCAGTTCTTGGTGTAAAGGTTCCAATAATTTCGCTAACCATTTTGCTGTTGAATGGTATGGTGAGTTTGACATGTCCAGAATTGGGCCTTTCTAATTTACGAACAACACAATTTTGAAGTATATATGTCGTAACAGATGCAAATGTTCACCATTTTTAACATATAACATTGTCAAATTCATTAATACATGCCTCATTTTGGCCTTTGTAAAATATCATCATAATTATGGACTTATAACTGTAGAGCCTGATGAGGAAGTTATTGAAAACAATTGTTCGCTCAAATATTGTTCATTTTTGAATATATATAGGAAACACGGCATTACTTTGATGTTGGGTAGAAGATGATTTGAAATAAATTTATTCTCCTAACTATAGAAGTCTTTAGATTTGACATCTGCCTTAAAATTTGAACTATTTATTATTTTTTTATGTTTTAACCGATCAGCCTTCTGAATGAAAATATTTGTTGTCAAATACACATGCACTAGGACATGGTGACAACTACGTTAAAATGTCTACCTACTCATGAGACTATAAGTATATGAAGTTTTTGTACTTGAACTTATTAAAAATATTCGTTTATAGATACCTCACTATATCTGAAGTCATTTTATTAATATAAATATGACACATAATTTATCTATAATACATTTCATAATAGTTATTCTCGAATGTCTACTCAGAACAAACTTTATCAGTTATTCGTAAACAGAGTACTTTATATGCATAATAAATTATATACCTCATTGAAATGATAGAGAATTCGGTAGGATGCTTTTGATGGTCCTGAGTTTTCTGAATTAAAAAGGCTTATATTATAAAACCATTGTCATTCAGTACAGTAATATCACCCTGACCACCAAGCTCAGTAAATAAATCATTAAAATGTCTTGTTTTCTACATATGCGTCATATATAAAGCATATTCTACATACTGAAGTAATTTTTTCATAGTGAATAAAACGTATATATAAGAGAATAATATTTTTTTACATAACATAATAGTCTAATATGCAAATGAATAATTACGTGTAGCGTAATCCCAAAGATCTTTTTTAATCATATAATTTCTATGTGCATTATAGAATTCTGAAGTAAAATCTGGATGGATTGTGAAACTTGGTATTGGAATTTTAACAGTTGGTTGAAAGAATGTTTCGACATTTTGTTTCGTCATTTTTGGTGGTTGACGTAAAGTTGGTTGTAAATGCAATTTAACGCTGTATGGTAATCGTTTAGGTAATAATTTGGATCTAAAACGAACAGTAAAAGAATAGAGATTACTTGGTGTTTTTGTTAGAGTATTGTTTATTACAGTAAAATGGTCTCCAGGATGACTTCTTACAGAAGACCTACAGATTTCATCCTAATGTTATAATGACATTAGATCAGTGGAATTAATCATTATTAATCATTATTATAGACTTGAAAACGATATTTCTAAAAAACCGATTACCTGTTATCTTGTGGTCAATTCAACTTTCCAGTTATAAGAAGCAGTTTGCATTAAACTCAGCACGATTCTCACAACATACTTCCAGAACATATCTTACATTTTTACGATATCTTATTATTCCTTGAAAAAGCTTGGACCAGATTGCCAGGCGAAACGTTGGATTTACTACAAATTCATTCGCTGAGATTTTACAAATATATTATTCCTATTTAATGTCTTACATCAACTCGGCGTTCAAATACTGTGAAACTATTCCCCCTAATTCAGACGACAGTTATTATATATTATTCTTATTATCCGCTTAGATAATTGTTTACTGTGTCTCGTATTCTAAATCTTGATAAAAGTGAAGTTGAACAACTACAAATCCTGAATATGACAGTGCTAAATGATGTTCATTAGCTTGAGATTTAACGCTTTTTGCGTTCCTAGTTAGTCATAAGACACTATTTTTAAAGGTTAAAGTTTTGACTTAGCAGTGTTCTAGAAAACATTTATGAGCCATACAAAGAAATGAAATAATTATGCCCATTGATTGTTGAGTGAGTGAATAAATTACATTTTTCATATATGATGTCTCATTACTACTATCTCAATCCCAAATGTGTAGGTACACATAATTCATTAATCTCAAACTTATCTCCTTTGAAAACTACTATGGTGACGTAACGCATATATCCTCAATAAGCTGTCAGATAATGATATGCACCTGTGGGTATTTCACAAACACATTTACCAAAAGCTGGTAAATAATTATCAACTTCAATGTCAAATAAAATGTCATATTCTCACTTTAAATTGAGAGGATCACCAGGTATTTCCATTCTCCACCCGTAACATCTCAAAGCTTGGTCATATTCATCTTCTAACACGATTTTACATTCTTTTAATAACTTCCTATCAAATATCTCTGGGGAAATCCTGGCATTTGCGTCTAATTTCTCATCCTCTCTTCTAACTGTTTGGTCCAACGATTTCTGGTCTGATGTGAAATCCGATGACTCTTGGTCAGTATTGTTGACACTAAATGACACAACAGACTCAGTATCTGCCACGTCACCTTCCAGTTCTGAAATAACTGGGGCAGCTCTACCATATTCTTCCAGCTAAATTTAATTCAAAAATTGAAAAAACAAATATCTTCGGAAGAATTTACAGAAAAGAAACTTTCGAGTGATTCATTTAGTTACTAGTCAGTAGTATTGAATTAGAGATAAAATGTATTTAATTGTTTATTTCATTAAGTTCTAACTATCGATGGTCATTATAAGTTCTGCTGATTTAAAGTTATGTATACTACCTTACATTTGTGGTGATACTAAGCCTAATGTTTGCGACTTAAATAAATCGTTTCTAAGTCAATCATTTGACGTCATGCTTCATATGTCCGCAATTTTGAAGAATAGTTGTATTTCACTTTTCCTTAAAATTCATCTTAGAAAATAACTCCAGTCATTTAACTCGTAACAATGTTTAAGCCCGACGATATTCCAAACCTCTTCTTTAAGGAGTATTCTGATATTCTTTATCATCCATTCACGAGCATTTTTACCAAATGCTCGACTAATTTTATATCGAAAATATGGAGAAAGATAAAAATAATCCTAATACCTAAGAAAATGCCTGGTGATAATAATGCGAAACTCAAACCCATAGCAAAAATCTCACCTTTACTTAAAACAATGAAAAATATATTGCTACTTCCACTTCAACCTGCATTAAAGAGCAGATTGATCCATATCATTACCTTAGATGCTTCTGTTGTTCCACATCACAATATAGTGTTCAGCTTGAAAAAGGGTAAGAAATGTGTTCGATGCGCATTTCTAGACTATACTTCTCCTGTTGACTCTATTCCAAGACCACTACTGCTAAACAAGTTTGACAGCGCCAATACAGTTAACTGAGTAACCAACGGACTGTGTTCTTACTTTTCTTTGAGAGGACAGTAAACTGTACTTGGAAAACAATGTTCAGAGTCTCCAACTTAAGAAAATGTGTCACAAAAGCTGTTCTTTCTAATTCTAATTTTTCTGCATAACCCGCTATCTTCCATAGAACACACTTTTTTCCGATATTCGGATGATCTCAGTGTATGTGCAGCGATTTCTACCACTTCACATCCCCTTGAAATGAGTTCTTGTCTCTTATTGAATAGTGGTCTGTTTTTAATGGTCTCACACTTAATCCATCTAGATATCAAACCGTTAACTTTAGCCTGAAACATGAACAGTATTTAAACACCATGTCGGAATCCCACAAAGTTTGTATTAATGAGGATTCTTTGACAAAAGTGTAGTAGGTCATTTATCTTAGTGTAAGTTTTTATTGTGATCTTTCTTGGTCTATTCATGTTTTATTGATATTGAGAAAAGTTCTCTTTTTGAATTATTATACAAACAGATCAAATGTTTTTGGCATTGCTCCGTATTTATTTTTACGATTTAATTATTATATATGATATATTATTCTTTACTATTCCCCATTATTCTTCCCTGTGCTTTTGAGAAAAGATTTTGCTGTATTGAGGAAAATGCTGAAGGAATTTAACAAGGTATGTGACAAATCTTTTGAGCTTATTATGTATATGGTTGTGGATAGATATTTAAAATCTTAAAATCTCCTGGTAAGTGTTAACTTACCAGATACTAACCATCCACTCCATTCACATCTGTCTCCCTGTATATCGTCTGGTAGAACGAGACGCTAATACATTAGAATCCATGCACACATACTCTACAATACCTTATCTTGTAACTATACTATGCAACGAACAGATTATAGGGGATGAACTAGTCGAATCTCGCGAGGCGGGATTGTGGATGCACACTACTGAGGAGTCCTATAATAGGACGAAACGGCCGTCCAGTGCTTCTAGGTTTTCATGGTGGTCTAGATTTAACTGACTCATTATGTCAACTATTAAATAACTTTTATGCTTAAACATATCGCTAATGAAAAGTTGTACAGATTCTTATTTTATTCAAAAAAACTTCATTTAATCCAACCTTGACATTAATACTTACAAATATCTCTGAATATTAAAAACTGCACGTTTTCCATCAAAAAAATGCATCACATTCCCAATATATATTTGATACGAATTTTTGATCATTAGATAACGGAAACTCTCCGGATTAATTAATAAATTTACGTTAGTAAAGAAAAATTACGAACTTATCATTAGAAATATTGGTAGTTACTTACAATGCACGGAGCACTATTTGGGCGACTTGGTTTTGCCCTTCCGATGGTTTTTTCAGATAAATATTGAAAACGTTTACTACTCCTATGCGAACTAGCAGTTGATATATTAGTATCGTGTTCTGGATTAGGGTGATTCGAAAGTCTTGAATGGGTCTGCAAATGAACATAACAGATATAAAGTTTACTGATAACTGCTTTTATTACCCAATACAGCATCGAAATGCTCTAAAAAGATAAACTGTCAGGATGGAAAAAATTTACGATTTGTTTTGAATATCTCAGCCGTTTGGAGAACATTCGAGTAAATTAGTGAAAACTGATTTACGTCTTTTGATTCAACTGACTAGAACAGCCGGGAAATCACCAACTATTTAAACCTAAATCTGCAACTAAAATTCTTAATGTTAATTTATCTATCAATATGTATTTCATATATACGCGTAATATGACATTTCAAGGTCACGTCAGAGTTTTGTCAAAAGCTAATGCAATTGATTGAAAAGGAATCATTAAGAATGACATACAAACTAATAGTATGCAGGTAGATTATATACAGTCATCAGTGAACTGATTCAATAAAATAGGCAGAATATTATATTACCGTAAATATTATAAGCACCATAATTTTTAGAAAGAATAGCATATTTCATTACCTTAAATAGTAAGATACATATTTTACTATCTAGTATGTCAGAATGTTACAAGCATACGGAGAAAGCTCTATAAGAATATACACAGCTAGAAAATTGTTTATATTTTTCTAGTCTCCTCATATCCCAAAATGTAATACTACTCAACAGGGTTGTAAGTATACATACTCATCCTAATTGTTTCTGGTACAGTAAAGAATTCTAGCCAGCATCTATCAATGATATATCAAACAATAGAATTTCAGTAATTATCAATTCTTTTTTTCTGGTATATGCACTGTCTTAATATGTCACAACATTCATGAAAACAGGATTCGTTGACTGGACTTGACTGTCTCCCATCGAATTCAACTTACAGAGCCATCACACGGCTTAGTCTCAAGATTATATTCCATCTTTTGTTTGATGTAAAGAATAAGGACTTGTAAAACACAATATGGCTGAATTCTTAAAGTGCTTAAGTAGCTTCAGAAGACAGATTTCTACAATAAAGCAACCAAAGTTAGTCTGCGACGTCAAACCACAAAATTAATCGATCTCCAAGACTCCAATACCCAAAACTCCTCAAAATATTACTGGTGATCAGTTTACAGAGGTAATTTCCGGAGTTCTAACAAAAAGCTGCAGTCAAAGGAATCTTAAATTGTTGAACGTGAAACAATTATCACTAATAACAATAGATGATCGCAGCGTAATATTGGCAAGTCGGCTAAATTTATGGAAATAAACAAGTCGATGCCGACTTAGTGATCCGCAAATTATATGCTCACCTTGAGGTCTGAAGTCCCTGGGTCCAACGCCTGATGAGGTTATGGATAGGTGCTGCTAAGGAATTCCACACAAAGACGAAATAGATTTCTGCTCTCTAATATTTGTTTGTTTAAAACTAGTCCATGATATAGAATCACAAAAATACTAGGTGATTGCAAATTTACTTATTTATTGAGAAATTATTTTGACCAAAAGTATGTGAACATTTAACGTTTTAAACAAACAACAAGTTCCAGTTTTCATAAGGCCATAATGTCCGTACTTTGCATAATTTTGTTAAGCATTTCACTCAATAGATAGCATAAAGACAGTGTTTTCAAAGTTCTGTAAATCACAACAATGGATTAAAGATTAAGGTTAAGGTTGGAAGAAACGACTTCGATTTTGTTAAGTTCCAGTACTTATTTCAAGTAATTGCTAATTATGTTACCACTGTGTTTATTTTTATTCAACAAATACTGAAGCGAGACGTATCATTTCTTAACTTTGCTTTCTTTAGAGCACCTAACATATTTGACACTTGACGACACCTTGATGTTGACTACGATGAATTTAAAATCCAAAATTAACCAACTTACAGATGCAACCGAGTGTGGTCTTTCATTAAATGTTAGCTTGCTTGAAGTTGATCGAGCTGTTTTGGAAATATAATTATTTTTATCTGCATTCACTTGAAACATATCCATGTTTGGAGTTGGTATAATTGGTTTCTTGGATGAAATTACTTGCTGAAAAATTATGTATATTTCATTACAGTATAGTTTTAAATGAATCATCAGCTGAGAATTGTATTTGAGAATGTAAATAATTCTTTACAATTCCCAATTCAATGAGTATATTTAGGTTAACCGAATCCGATGTTGCGTAAACTTACACAGTCATCGATAGGATTATTCGCTTAAGAATTATTACTCAACTGTCATTTTAAACAAATGGAATAGGTTTAACTGGTTCTTTAGACTTCACTAGGACTTATAACATAACACAACCAACGCATGTGAACATGTCCGTCATAAGATTTGAAGCTTCTGAAATGATGCAGGTGATGTACTACTCCAGGTGGATGCTTTATTGACTCTGAGTTAGATGGTTTAATGACAACTATTTCATTGTTGTACTGAACAATACCACCGCGTTATTCCAGAAAACTCAGAGAACTGATGGCAACATCATGTTCGCATCAGCAGACAATCAATAAACATGTTGTTATAAATCTGACCTATAGATACATACCGGTAGGTCAATCGATTATCTGAAACCAATTCAACAAGATAACAAATGGGAGAACAAGGACAAGAGAACACATTATATCACTGGAATAACCTTCAGAATGATTTCATATAAAACGACGATTATAACTTAATAATTGAACCAATTATTTCAGAGAACACAACACCACTAAATAGAAAATGTTGTTTGACAAGCATATAGAATTTTCTATCATTAAAAACTATGTTATCTCTAAACATTTAAACAAGCAGGTTTCAGAATAATTTTCATATAAACAAAAATCAATATACGTTCACTGTCATTTCCATCACTTTATATCCATTGTCTTATCTGATTGATTATAATAGACCATGAACTTGAATTACTGAACATATTGAAAATCTGTTTTATGAATTCGGTTCCTTTTTAAAATTTATCAGTAATTATTTATGAAAAAATAATATCTTCAAATGCTACTTTTACAGAAATACTGTAAATTCTCATCGTTTATAAGTACTAAGTTGTGTCTGGAAACTTTTTTCTAGTGTTATATGTGCTGGTGACCAGTTCGGAATGAAAACTTAAAGCATTCGATTTCGTCAGGTTTCTATGTAGCCAATTATAGTGGACTAATATGTAACCGTTTCATCTCAATAAGGATTAAAAGCCTCGAACTCTTTAAGACGACTTTAAAATATTCTCTTTAGAAATTATTCAAAAAATTATTACGAATACGTAACGACTGATCGGCTAAACTCAGACGATTGTAATTTATTCTTTTCAATCTGCAGCTATGGATGACTGATAGGAATTAGTTTATTCAGTTATTCACACACGTGCCTCACATTCATTAGATTGAGATCACGCTACTTCCAACCGAAATTTATGCTATCTTATGTTTTTGTAGTGAACAAGAACACAAGTGAGAACAATCGAATGTATTTGAACACAATATTACAGAACATCTCACTAAAATCGGAGAACCATACAGTAAATACTGAACTTGCAAAATGTCAGTCAATTGTCTCAAACATGACTGTTCCTTTTGCAAATATCAGTTAATCGTCTCAGAATTCATTGTTCCTGCATTTCTATACCAACTGTTCAGTGTAATACATTTATTATTAATGTCTCAATTCACTAGTGTGCATCAGTAACTCTCATAGTTACAGCAACTGGTTATAAGTGTCTGAGTATTTATGTAATTATCAGTTATCTAAATTTTCAAATATCCTTTGATTAAAAGTTTACTCAAATAAGAAACATTGATCATGCAAGACTGTTTTGTCAATCACCTACAACCATTTACCATATTAAATATCATCATATGCTCACTAGTGACTGGCTCCTTGAGGTAATTTCTGGAGTTCTAGTGAGAAGCCGTGGCCAGTGGAGCTAATCCATGTTAGGTAGAGACAGGTACATTGAAAGTTGGTTGCGCAATTTCGTGGATTGGTTGAGGTCAGACATAAACACCGTTGGATGCCAGCTCAGTGGTCTATCGGTTAAGGGCTCTGGTTCGAGACTGGTAAGTCCTGGGTTCGAATCTCGCGAGAGCGGGTTCGTGGATGCGCACTGCTGAGGAGTCCCATAATAGGACGAAACGGCCGTCCAGTGCTTCCATGTTTTCCACGGTGGTCTAGCTTCAATTGACTCATGATCTTAACTATAAAATTACTAAATCTCCACAAAAAACCCTTATGATAATGATCATAAAGTTGATAAATAACAATATATGTGTTATAACGTATGCCCTCTTAATACATAAACGTCCAATGATACATAAAATCGTACGAGCAGTCTTGATTGCGTATCCGCCCTGCTATCTGCCTAGCCCAGCCAGTTGAGTGCAGAACACAAATAACAGCCTCAGTGGTATGAATCATTATTTACAAACACACTGGGTTTTTATACAAACCAAAGTAATCCATAAACTGATTATAACTCAAGAATCGTATGATAATAAGTCAAAGGTCAAAATAAAGCTAATGATAAGAGAAATACGAATATGAATAGTTCAGTTACGTAATAATTACAATTGATTGATCACTGGGTGGTGATCAATCTCATGCATGTCAGGTCCTTCTTAGTGCTGATCGAATGCTATCGATCGAGTTGCAATGTGGCCACCAGTCTAGGTGGCTCGACACTGCTTGCACTATATATACTGAGGTAAGATGGTGGTTGGAGGTGGTCAACAGGAAACCCTGGATCCGGGTTTCGCGCTACTTGGCACTCGTCAGCAAGGTGTACCTGTAATCCTGAAGGAACTGATGCTCCCTGACGGATTCGATCCCGCGTCACTCAGACCACCACCCAGTGATCAATCAATTGTGATTACATCTCAGTCCTACAGGAGGTTGGTCGCGACCCGAATAGCTCAGTGGTAACGTCTCTGACTGTGAAGCTGAGTGACGCGGGATCGAATCCGTCAGGGAGCATCAGTTCCTTCAGGATTACAGGTACACCTTGCTGACTAGTGCCAAGTAGCACGAAACCCGGGCCCAGGGTTTCCTGTTGACCACCTCCAACCACCATCTTACGTAATAATTGTACAGTAGGAAATAGGCATATTACATTGATCCATAAATAGACCTAAAAGTTACCATTCGTAATTCACCGGGGGATATAACAATATGTATATTCTATCGTTTAACTTACTCTTGGAATTAAATTGATTTTTGATGTTAATAACCAATTATTTCCTACTTCACTTCTATCTTGTAATTGTTTTTTGATTGTTTTAAATAATGATTTTTGGTTACTTTGTTTTTTATTTTCAGTATTTACTTGTCTTTTAATAACCGTCGAATATTTTCGTACATTAGATTCATTTAAACATAATGAAGAAGAGTCCTTAGCTGAATAATCTTCTGATCTGATCTTATCTGATGAATGGTTATCAGTGGACGTTACATGAAGTTCTTTTAACGGAATGCCACCTTAAATAAATATAAATATATATTTAAGTGATTACAAATAGTAATTAAGTATATTCATGTATTTTACTGTGTTCTTATTCTTCCAAAATAGATGTAATATGGAAGGATTTTATTGAATAATGACAATATAAGAGAATCACAATAGTTTGTTCGCCCATATTAAGGTAGTCTATAGAAAATATGAAATATTTTTCTGAACGTTTTAATGTTTCATACTAAAAAAGACTAATTCTGTAAAGTCATCTGAATAGTTTTTGACGAACAATGCGTAAACAGATAATTTGCACGTTATTTAGTCCCTCATATGTGGCATAGTAACACAAAATGTAAATTTTACAAATAATTAATGAACAAATTCAAATATCAAGAATATGTGGCTATATAATTGATTGATTCACTTTACAACTTTTTTTCAAATAATTAGACCCATTCAACTGATATCATTTCGTGGATTAAACTCAGTTTGTCAAAAAAATAACAGTTTTGTAAGAGCTAACGGAAATTTGAAAATATAGTCGCTGATCCATTTGAAATTCCTCATAAATGTACATTCATATCAGATGAGTTTACATAAAGACGAAGCGTAACTGACTTCCAATAGATGTAAGAGGGATAATAGATTTATTAAAAACCAAAAATTCGGGTTTTTAAGAATCAGTATTGATGTAAGTAATACCACAGTATAAATGAAATTATTTAAATAATAATTAATTATTACATTCAAATTAATTTCCGACAATTATTTTACTTATCAAAATGATTACTATTACGGTATATAAGCAATATAGACCAATAAGAGAAAAACACGTTACCTTGCTTAGTATAGTGTCGACTAGAAATCTTGAGTATAATCTGAGCATAATCTTCTCATCAAGATGTTGAGAATCGGTCTGATACAGATCAAAACTTTCTTATTGGTTTAGTTTAAAAACCATTACACAGTAAATTCTACCATTGGATGTTTGATAATGGGATAGGGAATTTCATCATTTATGTTAGGATAGAGACACAGCTTCTCATCATTTTGTAAGCATAATAGTCTACTGAACCTCCACTTTCTTTACCTAATTGACATCATGCTTCTATCAAAAAAATAATCCTCAAATCGAGATGGGGATGATTAGGACAAGTTATATTCACTAAGAAGATAATCAAGCCTCTGTGGAATATAACAATTGAATACTTTCATAATACTGAAAATGACTCAAACTTATATTCCATTAAACTTTCAGTTACTTGTCACAAGTAAGCTTAAAGCAGAAAGCTTAGACTTCCTTAGACAATTATATCAAAAATGAAAGACCACACAAATACTTGCTTCAACTACCATAAATTTTAGGATGATGTGAGTTCCCTACCTTTCAAGCATCAATACCATCCGGTTGATCCTTAAATCACAAGAAGATAGTCTTTTTGGTCAAATTATGTTGAAAATATGTATCGATTTCCAACTATATATTTACATTTATTATCTATGTAATAATTTATCTATATTCATCATTTTCCACACTAAATTCAACACTGTTTAATTACAGTACGCTAGTAGATTTACCTTACCACATAATGGATATCAGCTAAGCGAATATCCCTTTGTTATAACGGTTCGTTTTCTTTGTTTACACGAATGTAACGTTAATTTACCTTATACGATTATCTACACTAGATTTCATCCCAGTGTCTACTCTCAGGACTTCAACACAACTCAGATCAAGAACGCGTGATTAGCCTAACTGGAACCAAAATCCGATACCATCTAACTACAATGAACAATCAACCAATAATAATAAGCAATAAGGATAGGGGGATATATAACTCATCTAACACTTGTCACACTATCTACATGTCTGACTAGGCAGGCAACCAATCATTATCATTCTCGCCCACAAATCACCTTCCGAATTCACTCGTCCTACAAAAACAATCGGTAAAACTGAACATTTTTGCGACAACTACTATAGCAGATGTGCGTATTACTACATTTTCAACAAATGGATGAAGTGAGGACAATTTTCTAATTTAGAAAATTCAAATTCAACTTAGTATTGTTTGTTTGAATCTTCCCATCGATATTTTTAGGACTGCAACTGGTCAGTCTCTAATTGGCATATGTGCATACTGTGCGTATTGCCTCGAAATACCTTAATTCACAAGCATGGTTAGCAGAGATGGATAGTGGCCGAGTGGATAACGCGATGGCGTTTGAAGCAAGGTTACTGGGTTCAAGTCCCAAAGTGAACATCAACAAGTCTGAGATGCAGGTACATCTAGCTGACGAGTCCCGAATAGGACGAGAGGTGCGTCCTGGATTCCACTGCTAGCCACTATCCATCTCTGCTAATTTAGAAAATTCAGTCTACATATATCTTAAAAAAATCATTTCTTCAACGTATTATCTCAAACTTCTGCCTTCGACGTTTCACTGTATTCCTGAAAGGGTTTCTAATATTTAACCGAAAATTGTATACTGAACAGGCTTCTGAAAAGTTTAACTTTTGAGAATGTCTAACGATGTTTAAGCGATTGAAACAAAATTTGCAATAACTTCCACAAGTGAGAGATGCGTTGAAAGGGACGATATTAGGGTATTTTATGCTTTGTGACATAAAGTGTCTATGACCTCAGTTAAGTACTTATTGGACAAAGTATATTGTATCGACTATGTTAAATAAGTGCATTGATCGGAAGTTAATTCTTCTTATTACAATAAAACGTTCAACAATTGCTAAGTTTTTTTCTGATGTAATTTTCATATTTTAGGTGAAGCAAAGTATAATTAGGAAAAAAAGCTGCCCCTCCCTAAACATGGTCAAATCCATATCGAATTGTCAAAATTAATACTGTTGTAATAACGAATCACAAAACTTGAAACTGGGATTTCAAGACTCCTACCAGTATGTACGTAACCAGTGAAATAGGATAAATATAACTTCATTATGTCTTTTGAAAATAATACCGAGATCTTAATCACTGTTGTACTAAAATAAATAATTCTCATTATTAAGATTTTTTTTAAAAAAAGATCCTTGGATTGAGAACAGAGTCACCTAATAGATTTATCTCCACTCGAGAAATCTCATAGCCAAAAACTGTGAGTTGAGTTGGAATCGATCGCATTAACTCAACAGATTATACGTCATCGATTAGATCAGATACAGGAAGACAATATATGGATTGTTCTTGAATATAAACCAAAATGTGTAAATAAGTAGTAAAATATTAACTGATTGTATTTACAACCGATAAGAGAATAGATAATAAACATACAAACAGTCGCAAATACATAGTTGATTAGCTAACTGAATTACATTAACATGTTAGTAGAAATACACTGATGTTTGTTTGATTTAGTTTTATACATCCAGAGTAATCGATTATGCATATTCAGAGTTGAAAAACAGTGTGCTACAAGTCTACCATCCATTAGGATACATTCACCTAACAATAACCTTTCTACTCATTACGTAGCATTCTAGCTAATTTCTAATTTAGAAAATTCAAATTCAACTTAGTATTGTTTGTTTGAATCTTCCCATCGATATTTTTAGGACTGCAACTGGTCAGTCTCCAACTATTAAAACTTATATAAACTCTTCAGATTTTCTTTAGTTAGTACTCACTTCATCTTATCAGTTTCCAAATTGTAAATAACTACTATTTTTCATATCTATTTTCAAATAACCTTACACATCCACCTGTACATATGTAATGGTGATAATCCTTACCTTTTAATTTTTTTAGTCAAACTATTCACTCTTCAATATGAAGTTATCTTCCAATACGATAACTTTTGTAGGCACCCGGTCAGAATCCATCAATTAAAATTAACTCAAATTATTCGACAACAACTGTTAATCAAACTTTATTTACACCAGGGTAAATTCATGTTTTACAATGTTAATAAATGATTCTAAGTGTTGGTAAATGATTAAAAAAAGAAGCTTAATTGTGAAAGGTAAATAATCTAAATATTCAGATAATACACCAAAACATTGATAATTGAATTAAAATGCTTGTTCTATTGTTTGTTTGTCTTTTTTTTATTTAAAAATTAACTTACTGAAAGTAGCTAATCGTTTATAACTTGGCACTTCATAAGGATTAAACACAATAGGATATATTGCATACGGTTGACTTTCAAGTACAATCGACATTATTCTAAAGGGAATTAATGAAGCTTTGTTAAATATTAGATTGTAATGATTTGCTTCAATTCAATTATTGAGAATTTCATCATTTATTTGTGAAATTAAGATATCTGAATGTAATATTATTGAAGCTAAGTAAGATTTAATCAAATTTTATCTATAAATAAGCAAAGATGGATAGTGGTTAGCAGTGGAATCCAGGACGCACCTCTCGTCCTATTCGGGACTAGTCAGCTAGATGTACCAGTATCTCAGAGTTGATGTTCACTCTGCGACTCGAACTCAGTACCTTTCTCTCCAAACGAGTGACTATCAGGACTCAATGGCTTAGTGGATAACGCGATGACGTTTGAAGCGAAAGGTACTGGGTTCGAGTCCCAGAGTGAACATCAACAAGTCTGAGATGCAGGTACATCCTGCTGACGAGTCCCGAATAGAACGAGAGGTGCGTCCTGGATTCCACTGCTAACCACTATCCATTTTTGCTTACAATGCTTGTGAACTAAGGCTATATCGAAGCAATACGCACAGTATGCACATATGCCAATTAGAGACTGACCAGTTTCAGTCCTAAAAATATCGATGAGAAGATTAAAACAAACAATACTAAATGAATTTATTTCTAAATAGTTTTAATAACTTAAATCAATTAAATTTTAGAGCAATTTAAAATAGATCGCTATATTTTGACTAGGTTACATCAGTACAATTATGGAATGCTACTAAATAATACTAATTATAGTCCTTCTACATTTACTACCGATCCCATACCCGGATAAAGAAATTATATCGAACATGAGATTAGCAACCCCAGCATATAAAAAAGAACCTTGCTAGAAATAACGTTAACTAATCACACCTAACTTTCATATTAATATAAATAATATGACTTACTAATGTTTGTTCAATGAATAATGATCAGTCTCATATTGTATGGTCTTTTAGTCCCGTTCAATTTATATCGATCAATTCGTAGTGTGATCACTAGTCTAATTAGATTGATTGAATACACTATTTTAGGAGGTTCGAGGTTGTCCGCAAGAAACCCTCTGTTTACAGTAGGTCCATACAGGTTATTGGTAATTTATCATGGTATGAAGCTGCGTAATATGGGTTGGGATTTCACAAATATCATTAATCCTTTCAAAATTCCATATAAACTTATGATGATAAAAGTGATTGACACGATTGGTTGTATTTCTATTTCAATAACTTAAGTGACTGGAATTGTTGCATATGAAAATACTGAAATCTCCACAAAACCCTTTCTGATTATAATCATATGCTCACTAGTGACTGACTTCAAGATACATGTCCTGGAGTTCTAGTGAGAAGCAGTGACCAGTGGATTTCGAACCACGTCTGTTGTGAGATAGGAACTCACTGAAGACAATCGGTGAACGGTTGCTCAAACATCGTGGATCGGTTGAAGTTAGACAATAACACCGTTGGATGCCGGCCAGCTCAGTGGTCTAGAGGTTAAGTGCTCTGGCCCGAGATTGAGAGGTCATGGGTTTGAATCTCGTTCATGAGTGCGGGATCGTGGATTCGCACTGCTGAGGAGTCACATAGTAGGACGAGTTGGCCGTCCAGTGCTTCCAGCTTTTCCATGGTGATCTAGCTTCAATTGACTCATGATTTCAACTATGAAAATACTAAAATCTCCAATTTATTTGCAACTATCAAGTCCAACATTGACATGGATACCTACCTTCTATCGTATATTTTTAACAAAATTTAATATTTATTAAAAACTAACCAGAATTATTACAAGGGAATAATCCATAAATAAAAATATTCAAATTCATTTATTGACATTAATTATAGTTTATAAAGAAAAATAAAGTAGTTTTACAAATAATCAATAATCTAATATCATTGGATCAAAAAGTTCACCAACAGTATACGTAACTAAATTCTGAGTAAAAATGTGCATAGATACAAGCACATCTATTTTATTGAATTAAATAAATAAGTATTGAACACTTGATAACGTGACCCTATATGAACTGTGAGATATAACTAGTAAACGAACAACTTCACGCACACACACACCTACATAATTGCAAACGTAGAAGTACGATTTATGTAGTGATTTCATATATTCAGTCATTACGCTATGATTATATAAGATAATAAAATTAGCAGGCTCGGCAAAGAGCCAACTAAGTACAGTGTAACTTTAGGTAGAATTGGACTGCTAAGTGAACTATTAAAATAGTACATACTAGAAATGTACTAAGTTAGAAAGTGATCGCTTAATTAAATAACCTTCAAAGTGCTCGCTTGGGTTACTTGTACAGTTAAGTTAAATCTAAAAATAATAATCACAAAAGTCCTGTGTCAGATTCCATAAAGGTTGATTAATCCTCACTTTTAAAAGTTATGAAGTAAATCAAAGCATTTTTATATTTCCTTCTTATTTCTAATAGTTTCTTAATTCAGATAAATCAGAGAACAAAACTGTTTTCCATTCTCAAATAATTATTAGATTAGGGAATTCTGCTTGATTTGATTATGCAGTACATGCCAATCTGTTCGATTGAGAGTAATTGTTTTGGTACTGTTTTTCTTTTACAAGTTGATTACTTGAAAACATAACTGTTAACCAATTGCATTTTTTATTCGGTTTCATAAATTATAATATTTTCTTTAAACAATAGATCCAGAGTACCTCCCCATGTTTTGTTCGATCTTCCTTTCTTTTTAACAGTAAAATCCTAAATATTACATAAAATATCTACTATGTATTCAGAAGTTAGTTTCTTATTGACACTCGTTGAGTAGTCATTTCGTTGTGAAATTTTTTAAAGACATATTTTATGTTGTTTTGTTTTACTGAGCTTGAGCATATTAGGATAACTTTCAGTCATATAATCACTTTCTAAAGGACATTGAGTTTACAATGTTTTATTTGACAAAAACATCTGGTCTATTGTGAATTATCACTGTTCTTCTGATATGATAATTAGAAATATTAACTCGCTTACTGACCTAAAGTTCTAGAGATATGTTTTTTCAGAAAATTGATCACAGCACAAAGGTTTTATATCTGAAGAGGTTTTGTGGAGATTTCAGTATTTTCATAGTTGAAATTATGAGTCAATTGAAGCTAGACTACCATGGAAAACCTAGAAGCACTGGACGGTCGTTTCGTCCTATTATGGGACTCCTCAGCAGTGCATATCCACTTTTCTGTTGTATAATTATTGTCTGTGTACTAAATGCAAAATTTTGGCTTTATTCCTTAATATTTATAAAAATCTCAGACATTGTAAATATGCTGCAGCTAATAGCGTTGAGTCAAATAGTAATGTCATATTATTTATCTATGTTTACTCATTCAATTATTCTTTTATATAAAACCATGGATAATAAAGATTCATATTAGTCATGACGCTACTTTTCATAGTATTGTAATTTTTTGATTAAATTATCGTCGCTCATTCAACATCGAAAATTAACCGTTTTGATGGATGATTACACTAAAGGCTTTGATAAAATCAGTTTAAGCTGTAAAATGTTTTCGAATATCTTTCCCTGACTTCAACTTGATGATATAAATAAAATGAATTTCATAGTCTGTGTAATGAGGTGAGATTAGTTAGATAATGATTTAAAATCATAATTCACTGAACAGATGTTTCATCCTGGTACAGGGCTCCTCAGCAGTACACGTTCATGGCTCTACTATAGATCAAAACCACGACCTTTAGATTTTCAAGCGAACACTTAACTTTTAAACCACCAAGCCTCCATCCAATATTTTACATGTTTACCTTCCATCCATTCACAACTTACGGTTTCATTTCAATTATATTAATATTTTATAGAACTTGGAAACTTTCCAGCATTAATTCAACCTACCTTCATAGTTCATCTTCATTTTAAATTATGACATTATTTCGACGATAATTATTATAATAATTTTTAGACCAATCAAAATTGTCATGAAAACTTACCCAACTCAAAATTCAATAATAATATTCTTTTAAAACAAAAGCCATAAAATTTAAGAGGGAATAATACAAAAGAAGAATAAGTATCCTTAAGGGATATTTTTTTTGTTTTTTTTCCACAATAGAATTTTCTCAAATGTTTTGTTGGTCAAACTATTTATCCTAGTACTTCCTCAATAAGGAACAGTTCATGTCATAATAGTAAATAAAACACTTACCTTTAGTAAAGTACTTCGGAAGTGTACATTGTTTAGTAGTGAAAAAAAAGTTTAATTTTTGTTAAATGCATTTACAAATGAGGACGTACTTGTAAACTAACATATATTGTAATAAGTAATAAAAATATATAAGAGTAGTGGTGAAAATAGTGTACTCATTTTCAATTTTATTAGATTTCAACTAATTTGAAGATCATTTCAACAAGACTATCTAAAGAAGATTAGACTTCAATTATGATTAGATTTCAATAAAGAAATAACTCACAAAAATATATAGATAATGATCGGTTATCACATAACCACTTTGTGTTATCTATAAAGGCCAATAACTTCCAGTCATTGATATTCAGGACTGTAATTGTTCAGTTTCTGTTGGTATATATGCCTGATGGGAATTAAGCTTAGTGGTTAATTCACAAGGTCACTAACTGGTGAGCTAAAGGCAATTAATCGTTTTCTGATTAACTTTAATGTTTTATGCTTCATATATTTGCGATATTTTAAGTGGGAAATGATGTTTTGGGCTTTTACTTGTCAACAAGACGTATTTATAATCTTAAAAAAATTAATACTTTGTTTAAGATCAGAACTCTCGTCACCCAGCTCCACAATATGAGAAATCACCATTCAGTCACTTAAGATCCAAGTTAGACCACGAAGAAGGACAACAAATCCCTAAAGAATTCAGATACGTCTTGCAGACAAATGTGAGTTTCTGAACGACTTAGGTCTTGGGCTTCTTATCGACCACCTCCGACCAATTAATATTAAAACATAATACACTTGATGTCAAGGCACTTGGACTAGAAGTCACGTTCAAAACTGACCTATATAATTCTATCGAAATTAAAAACTAGATGAACTTGACACTGGTTACCAAAGAATAAATAGTCAGAAGGGGTTTTGTGGAGATTTAGTATTTTCATAGTTGAAATCATGAGTCAATTGTCTAATTTCAAACAATCCACGATGTTTGAGCAACCGTTCACCAATTGTCTTCAGTGAGTTCCTATCTCACAACAGACGTGGTTGAACTCCACTGGTCATTGTTTCTCACTTGAACTCCAGGACATGTAACTTGAAGTCAGTCACTAGTGAGCATATGATTATTATTACTATCAGAAAGGGTTTTGTGGAGATTTAGCATTTTCATACCTGAAATCTTGAGTTATTTGAAGCTACACCACCATGGAAAACCTAGAAGCACTAGACATTAACACCGTTGGATGCCGACTCAGTGGTCTAGAGGTTAAGTGCTCCGGCGCGAGACTGGTTGGTCCTGGGTTCGAATCTCGCGAATGCGGGGTCGTGGATGCGCACTGCTGAGGAGTCACATAGTAGGACGAGTTGGCCGTCCAGTGCTTCTAGGTTTTTCATGGTGGTCTAGCTTCAATTGACTCATAATTTCAATTATGAAAATACTAAATCTCCACAAAACCCAAAACAATAGTGTCAATCGAAATGATAAAAATTTTGAATTTATTATATTTTTAAAAATTCGTTTTGTATTTATAACTTGATTAAATTCAGAAAAAGTTAACTTTCGATTAGTTATTGAATTGACCTCTGATGAAAAAACGGAAATCTCTCAATCAATTCGTGAAATATTAGTAAACCCTTATATGGACAAAATTCATTCAATAAAGCACATCTTGACAAGTAGATCTAGCGCTTCAGTGAGAAATTAGAAAACAAGAAGTACAATACATGATGATGGTTATGGATCACCGATTAAATGTCGTAGTGATTAGTAGTGTAGTGATTTTGATAAATCCACAACGCACACTACTCTAGCAAAATGTTAAAACTATGAGACATTTGGCGTGACTGATTTCTGAGTATATTTTAATAGATGGAAACTAAGGTCAAGTAACTACATTATCACAAATGAATTAAATTCCGAAAGGAATAAGATTGATAAGTCTTAAACAGATTTATGACCTAAATTTATGTGCTTACTGAATAAATCATATACACCACCAAAATTATTAACTAAAAGATTAAAATTCATTTCAGCGATCCTCAAATCAGTCATAAAATGCTTGTGGTGTTTTTTCAAGAGAATAATGACTTCAGAAATG